CTGATCATTTATGTATACATTTGTCTATATCTATCTCGATTCGTTTTGGCTGTTACAAACAACCGTTATGTGAACAAAATTAATATACCCTTGTGCACAAGTGCGCTCGGGTATAAAAATCATTTAAAATCAACGCGATCAAACTGAAATTAGAAAAATTTTAATAAACTTTTTAAGGCTTGAACAGGTGGTGAACCTAGACGAGTATGTACATTAAAACAGCATACTTACTCAGAATTTTGAATTGACGCTCAAAATCTTGGCTTAATGTTGAAAACCTCATTTTCGGTAGGCTGGAGCTTACACTTGGCCTTAACTTCATAGTATACCTAAGGTAAAAATTATATTAGTGCGGCATTTGACTATTTTTCTTTTGTTAGTTTAATGTTCACACATCTTTTATAAATGTATAGATCGTTATATAGCAACAAGCTTATAAATACAAATTTCAAACTTTGTAAGAAAATTGGAAAAAATCTAAAAATTTCAACAAAATTGCATCAAAGATTCAAGCTTTTTAATCCAAACAAAAAAAATCCGAGTTTTAGAAATTTTTTATTTAGAATTTTTTATTTATGTATTGTTAAGCATTTTCTTCCATATAAAAAAATCAAGCTTTCTTTATATGGACAAAACTACAACTCACGGAGTTGCCATCAAACAAAAAAATGTTTGCAGTTTTACTATACGGGTTGCATTTTTAGACCAAGTTGTGTATGTATTACAAAACTGAAAAATGCTTCAGTGGATTTTAATTTCGAACCGAACCGAACCATTTTTTGGAGGGGTTTTCGGGTCGGTTTTGGCATCTCAAAATAAAAACGGTTCGGTCCGAAGCCCGAAAAAAAGCGACTGTTTGGTTCAAAATCGGTTGGCAGCCGTGATTTTAACATAAAGTACTTTCTGATGCTAGTGCTTGTCTGGAATTCAACTGTCATCGATGATGTTATTGCTGACCGTATATATCGCATTTTAAATAGAAGGTTTTACTATAAAATTGTAAAGTTAAAATTAACATCAGTGATGACAGTTAGGTCCCAGACAAGTTCTAATATCGGAAAGTACTTTTTGGTAAAAAGCGTTGATAGCAGATTTTGAATATGAGCCCTCGGTAGATATATTTCTACGGACATACATACATACATATGTAAACGATTGTTCGTTCACCCGTTGCTTACTTGATTACATTTAACCTTAGTTGTATTATAAGCTAATGTCACTTCCGAAAATAGCGTCTAAATATAGCAGCACAGCACATACAAATAAATTAACATCCGTAATGTAATTAGAATTCATTAATTGTGATTGCCTATGTATGTATGTAAGTAACTAAGAGTTTTAGTGAAATTAGCAATAATAAACATTTGCATATAAATTACTCATTCGTACACATACTTTTCACAGTCATTGTACGAATATTATGTACTAAGTACTTTTCTAAATAAACTCGCACTCTGTTATACTCATTTGATTGTAACAATTCCAGTGCTCAAATACATGTCATACATATCTAGTACATACATATGTAACTGCACTGCTTTGTGTTATTCGGCTGGAGCTAATTATTGCGCACGCGTGTTCCAGACGTATTTTAGCGAGTGTGCCTCAGATGAGTGCAGCAGTAGCGGCAGCAGCGGCAGCAAATATAGCAAATTCACAAAAATAACAAAATTTGTGTGCACAATTCTCTTGGGGAATGTTTTCTTTTTCCAGCGGTCATGAACGAATTTCTGTGTGCGGTACTTTTGGAATACAATTTTAGAACTACATATGTACATACATATTCTATTCCATTTTCTATAATTTAAATCAGCGGTCCATTCAATTAAAAGATTCGTTTTTTACAAGTTTATGAATGGAAATAATTCCAAAAAGTATACATATTACCGACAAAAAATGTGTTGGCAAGCAAGTTTTTGTAATAACAATAATTCAATGGCAATGGAACCTCGAGTGCATTTTAACCGACTAGTATCGTTTGAATTTTTAAATAAAATATTTCCATAAAAGAAGGAAATGGGACAAGGTGTGGATCTTTTTTTTTTTATGCATTTTTAATGCATTTCATTCTAATTTGCTCCTATAGGGTTATGCAAGGGTAATGCAGATCTTTCACAACAATTAGATGGGATGTGTTGACGTTTTCTTAAAATTTTTTTACACAGTTGGTGCTACAGACTTTAGCAAACTTAGTCAAGGAGTGTTACTCAGTTGAACAATGCCTAAAAGTGATTCAAACGTTATAAGAAAATGGTCGTTATGCAAGAGCTGCATTTAGCGATGAGGCACATTTTAAAATAAACGGATACGTTAACAAACAAACTGCCGAACTGAATTAGATGAAATGGACTTGGGCAATATGTGGTTCCAACAGGTTGACGCCACTTGCCACACAACGCATGAAACAATGGCCACATTGCAAAAAAAGTTCCCAGGATGCATTATCATACGAAGAAACGAAGTCAAACGGCCGCCGAGATCTTGCAATTGCCAATAAGACCGGTCCGGTGCGGTACTTTTGAATCACCCTGTAAATATTGTTTGACTAACTAAAAAAAAATTAAAAAGGTTTATAACAGATTTTTTGGTACAAAGGTATTTTTATATATATTTTTTTCATATTTATTTAAGAAATGAGGCTGTATCTATAAGACTTTTGAATCTTTTATAATACATCAACAGTTTGTAAAATTCAATGTTTGTACAAAGTAAACATAAAACTAACAATATATCAAATAGCAACAAAAAATGTTAATATTTGTATTTTTAATTAAAATTAAAATTAAGACTTAAAATTTAAGGCTAGATATAATAAAAGGTCAGGCATATAGATATAAATACGAATACACAAAACACTACGAAACACACAAAACAATACGAACATACAAAATTTGGTTTAATAGTAGAAGTGACAGAGACAGAGAAATGATAACAATTTAAGCGCAACCACATTCATTGTGCAGATCTAAAGTAATTATGCAATACCTTTCTGAAGTTACTCCGATTCATCGCTGCTTTTACGGACTCAGGAACTGAGTTCCAGAGCCTTACAGCATTAATGAAGAACAACCTAGCTGAAGACAAGTAGGAATATTTGGGGACATTTATAAAAGATAAAAAAAAAAAATTTTTTTTATTTTTTATAAAAACTATTTTTTAATAAAAAATAAGCTTGCAATTTTTTTCCTATTTAGACTTAAAAACTTTTTAAAGTAATTTTTTTTACTTAAAAAAAAATATTTTTAATCGTTTCTCCCAGTGTCGTTAAATAAATAATATAAGGGACCTTTTCATAAATAGGCGAACGAAGTTTTTACATTACCTCAGAAACTACAATCGATTTTAGATTTTTTTTCATATTTCGCGGCCCATTCAGCGTAAAAATTTCAAGGTATGGTGGTTTTTAAGAAAATTTATTTCCCATAAGGTTATCAGGTCAGTTGTGTTGTTGGCGTTTGAAAATCAAAATTAACCGCGTGTAGCGTACAATGCCGGGGTGGAAAACACATGCAGCCCACACTTAGATACAAACGTACACACACGAAGTTAATATAGTGAAAAGGGGCCGAAATTAAGAAAAGTGCAAAAGAAAAGTGGAAGTGACAGACTGTGTGAGACTTTGAAGCGAGCGGTAAGCCAAAGTCGCCTATATAGCGCGCGGAGTATCTAGAAGTGCTACGCTCAATCGCTCCACGGTGAGACATTGTACATTGTTACATACTTTTTTTTGCGCTAATTCGACTCAACAACAATGAATGATAGCTGATGGTGACAGCCTCGGCGTCGACAACTCTCTACAGTCAGTCTAATAATGTAACTCAAGTTGATGTGTTCGTCGTACGAGCTGTAGTTGGAAAATTTGCAAAATTGGGAAAAGCAGATATTCATTTTGTGTTTTAAATTTTTTGTTTTCGGGGGGTATACGGAAATGGACAAAAGCACAAGAACAGCAAAGAACGCGTAGAGAATCCAACAAATACATCATAATGTCGAAAATAATCGATAAAACAGACAAATGTGAAAGCCGCTAAAAAGGTACTTTGCAACAAGAAGAATTTTTGCAAAAATAAAAGAGAATTAGAATATATAAAATTAAAAAAAAAAATAATGGAAAAATGGAAATGCGTATACACATACTTGTGCGCATACATAGGCAGTGTTACTAACGATGTGCTAATGCAGGCGGACCGTTAAAAGGAAAGCAAAAGTGCTCGTCGCTCGTAGTTCATATGAAAATTGTTTATACACACACACATACATAGTATGTATGTGCGGCTAGTTGTTTCTTTTTATCTATATACATATGTGTATGTGCTCTTTGTGCTGTGCAAGGAAGTCAAAAATCGTTACGCTTCCTTCAAGTCTACTGCTGTTAACAGGAAATCAAATTCTCAAACCGTTGTAGTTAAAAAAAAATAATGTAATGTCCTGCTGCTAAGCGTCTTGAAGTGTATTGTATTTGTACCAAAGTGACCTTTCACAGTTGGATACGAAGCAAAATCAGAGCCGTGCGTTTGTACACCCCCAGCCAGCCAGCCAGCCAGCCCAACAAGCAGCGAAGCAATTACATGAACGACACCAGCAGCAGCAGCAGCGGCAGTAGCAAAAGCGGCAGTGACAATAGCAGCAGCGTCCAAGGCAACAACATCAAGCACAACAACAACAACGACAAGAACATTTTAGTATATCCTGTAAAGGCACCGCTTACAAAAATATGAAAAAATCGATGCCAGACTCCGATACTTCAACAGTCACAGGCATAGTCACAGTCACAGTTACAGCTACAGGCATAGCGAGAGTCATAGCCAAAACAGCGCAGCAGCGGCAGTAAATTCAGCAGAGCAGCAACAATAACAACAACAACAACTACTCTGTACATTGCATTGCAGAATTAAATTCATTCATCTCGCAGCACTTTGATATATTTTCCCTGATTTTATTTGCTGTGCTGAGAAAAATTTCTGTTTCGGTGGGCATAAAAGGAAAAGGCAGAAATTATTGTTGCATACTTGCATGCATACATACACATTTAATATGTAGTATGTATGTATGTGGTTGTTGATTTTCCGGGTAAATATTATTTGTGTGCAAAGTGAAAAAAAATATATACCTATAATTTTTTTTATACATATTTATGATGCAACATGCAGAGAGTGAGCAGCAAATGAATTGATTAACTTAAATGAGATGGAAGTGAGAAAAAAATCTGAAGCAAACTCCATCAAAACAGCAAGGTTTTGTAAAAATTATGTACCCCCATACTTAAAATTTATATCTAAATATTTCTGTATGTAGATACATATGTATATATATGAATATATGAATGTATTCATATATGTACATATGTATGTACATATATACAGTGGTTCTAAAATGAAGTCGGGCAAGCATTCGAACATTACATTCTTAAAAAATTAGAAAAAATTATTTACTTCGATTTTTTTTGCATTATTCTTTCATTAAACTTTTTTCTTCTCATCGAACAACATTCAAAATAACACGGGCCGACAAAGTTAACCGAAAATATTTTCCCAAAACCCAGGGCCCTTACTCTGTAGTTCGAATCGAAAAAAGGTTCTATTCGAACGCCTAACTTTTTTATAGTACAAATCGTTCGAATTCGAACAAATTTACTATCGATTCGAACTACAGAGTAAGGGCCCAGAACTTTATCAAAGCTTTTCGACGTGCTCATATTTTAACCTAAAAGTGCAAAAAGCGCGATTCTGGCCTATATTTGAGGTTATATAGCGTCTTAAAGCTTAACAACCAAATTCATTAAAANCAATGAGAGTTTCTGCTGAAAAATCACTCAAAACATACTGCACATATTCGAAAAGATTGGATACAAAAGCAAAAATTTGCTAATTTCAAATGACCTCCACGATCCGCGGACATGAATCTCATTGAGAATTTGCGAAAACAACTAAAAGCACAGCTTACTAAGTATCCAAGTCCGTAAAATCGAGTACATGAGCTGTGAAAGCAAACTAAGGATATACCTCCAGAATTTTTACAGAGATACAAATAAGGTATGACAAATCGTATCCAGAAACTGAAACAAACAAAAGAGTACTGAACATTGTGTTGGTAGTTCTTTTTTTTCGTGAAAATTGTTAAAAAGTTCTTAAAAATATATGAGTGCAAAACTGTAACATATGCCTTAGTTTACATTTTTGTCTGCTGGTTTTATCATTGTTGTTGGATTGACTTCAAATCATTATGAGAGAGGGAGTAGGGATGTACCAACAAGAATATACAACAAAAGAATGAAAGTCGTTAGAACTTGGAAAGATAGCGNCGAATCGAAAAAAGGTTCTATTCGAACGCCTAACTTTTTTATAGTACAAATCGTTCGAATTCGAACAAATTTACTATCGATTCGAACTACAGAGTAAGGGCCCAGAACTTTATCAAAGCTTTTCGACGTGCTCATATTTTAACCTAAAAGTGCAAAAAGCGCGATTCTGGCCTATATTTGAGGTTATATAGCGTCTTAAAGCTTAACAACCAAATTCATTAAAAATAAAGAAAGCTGTAACTGCTTCATAAATAGAAAATTTTTATGAAAATGTCACTTCATAGAGCTCTTTAGATCTATTTTATTTTTTTATGAATAAGGCCGTAAGTCTTTTTCTTTCGAGTGTCGCACAGTGCTTCCCTTTGATATAAAATGTGGGCAAAAATTGAATTATGGACGTATTTAAATAAAAATTCTCTTAGTAAAATTGAGGACGCTCAATTCAAAAATGCAATTTGTTTTTGGATAACTTTCATACTTTCACTCTAAATGCAGTTTTAAGTTGACAATTAGGGTTCTTGTGGCATTAACATAGGTATGCACATATAGTTCGTTCTATTTTCAAAAGTGAGGTGTGAAATGATAGGGCTTGGCCTGTAGATGTGGAACAAAGTTTTTTTTTTTTTTTAAAGGGTTGCCACATGTTTAAAGTTTTATTAAAATTGTTTAATAAGTTAAATGAATTAAAAAGGGTTTGCTGTGCTGTGTTTACTTCTAAACGGCACGTTGAAGGGTGGCCACATGTTTAAAAAATCAAATTCACTTTAATTAAGAGAATAAGGTAAGGGAAATATGTATATCAATATGGGTATCAGACAAAAGAAAAAAATTTACTTATTTAGATCGAAATAAGTGAAGAGTAAACACATTCCTGTGTTACTTTTCTAAAGCTTTTCGGCTTTTAACCCCCAAAAGAAAGAGGATTAAGAACGCTTACAGCCGAAAATATTTTTGTGGAAGGTTGCCACCTGTTTGAAAGTTTTAATTTAATTTAATTGATAAGATAAATTAAATATTGCAATGCGGGCATCAAACTAAAGGGGTTTGGGAAAGGTTACTGTCAAAAATTATATTTGAGGAGGGATGCCACATGTTTGAAAATTTTTATTCAATCAAATTGATCAAATAAATGAAATATTACAATACAAGTATACAACATAAGAGGTTTCAGAAAGTTTACTGTCGAAAGTATTTTTGAAGCGGGTTGCCACCTATTTCAAAAATTTTATTTAGTTAAATCGGTAAGATAAGCTAAATATTACAATATGTGTGTAAAAAGATATTTGAAGAAAGTGCGCGATATGCAGACTCGAGTCATACGATTATAAATTAAATTTCCAGGATAAAGTCGATTTTTTACCTACTTCACAAATACCTTCGAAAACATATTAACTAACACCCACAATAATAAAAAATAAAGAATGCTTCATAATTTAGTTTGAAAGATGAAATTCTGTAGAATTAAAAAACAAATAATATTTTGGTTCATAAGGACGAATAGGTATTGAAAATTGCCTTTAACTATTTTTTTATCCTAAACTCAAAAGTTAGAAGGACGAAATTCGTTGTATATATTACACTGTGCGACAATTTTATGGCAATTAAAACCAGCCCAGACGTTGCTAATATTTTCTGAAAGTATACTTATATATCCAGTACTAAACCACTCGATGTATTTGATAAGGTTAGCTCCTATTTTTATTTTATGGCCTACTAATGTTTTCATGCCCCGGCCTAAGGCAATTTAAAATAAATGGAAACATTGCTAAAATAAATGTTTGAGTAAAATTAAAGTTAAGACATGTATAGTAAAACTTAATGGGAAATATTTTCATAGAACATTAACCCATTAGCTGCTGCCTGAAACGGTCATTTTACCCGTTCTTCAAGAAATCCCCCAAAAAGAAATTTGGAGTTAGAGGATTGGTATGTTGTAGAAAAATTTTACTAGGGGTCTTCTCAAGCAAAGACTATGTACATGTCGTCAACGTACGTAAAAGTCTCTAAAAATTAAATCTAAAAAATTGTACAGCGTTACTCAGAAAAAGTCATTCAGGTCTTTGAAAATTTTGTATACATATGGACATTAAACCATACCGGAAAAAGTTCGCCATATACCACCAAGTCTAAAGTTATTTTTGCAATGCAATTTCGAAAAAAAAACATTTTTTTAACCGAACTTTGGGTATGCATTTTTTTAAATTTTTCTTCATATCTTCGACATTTACAGCCGGATCTTAAACTATGATATATCGATGTTCTTGTCTCAAGGACAACATTCTTATTGACCTCAAGTTCTCCGTTCTAGTACTTACCCACCAGATCTCAGTTCCTACCAATCAACCTACCACGCTTACAAAAGCTCACCAAACAGCATTTAACTTTTGCTAAGAAAGTATTTTGATTATTCCAGTATAACTATTAAATAAAAATGTTTATTGTCGAATTTATGGATGGTAAAAAGGCGACCCCTAGGTTCGGTCAAAAAAAAAATTAAAAAATATTTCCAACTGCCTTGCAAAAATACTTTAAGGCTCCGGCAGCTAGAAAATCTTTTATGCGTTGCAGGGATACCTTTAACGGGCATTAGAGTAAGCATTGACGCAAACGGAAGAAATCGAACAACTCGGTACTTTTGACATGCGCCGATGCGGCGCAAGAACAATGTATGGAACGAATTCAGACCAACTGATTTTTGGCCAATCAAATTGAGCCGTTTTGTTTGCTGCAAAGTTTTCGTTGTGCCGCCTTGCCATTACCTGTGCGTCGCGTCAGTCAAAAACATCCCTGCGACGCAGAAAAGACTTTCTATCTGGCGAGGCGTTTAGACTCAGGGTGTACGGCAAACTTATTTTTGTTTGATTGTAAAGTGTTACGGTCTAATGTACATGTCAATACTGCATTAATGGTGTTTTATTTTATATACAATGTTTTCCAAGCAAGCATTTTTTTATGTTTTGTTTATAAAAATATGATTCATGCTTTAACGAAAACCATATAAATCAAAGTTACAAACTTTATATAGAACTTATAAAACTTTTACAAATTTTGAGCTTTTTAATAAGAATTTTTTGTGATATTTTTGGTTATGTAGCTTCAAGGCCTACGAAATTTTAGTAAAGCAAGTACAAGTTGTAAGCGTATAAAAAATCGCGTAGATTTTTAATATATTTTTTTTTTTGCTGATGGCTTTTGCGGAAAAATTTTTTAGTATGTAAATATTAAAAACAAAACACCAACCAGTTTTCACCGCCAGCGTAAGAGGCCTATTTCAAGTTATTATTGTTTCATCTAATTTAATACGGGTCTTCGTGATGAAATTATAAATTTGTATGGAAAACCAGTTTATTTATCATTTTATCACGTGTATCGGCAGTTTATCACTTTACATGAAGATGCCTATTGTAATTTCTCGAGTTTTTTATAAACTTATACAAGTTGTTATCTTTATGTTTTTATGAAAAAAATTAGTTTCATAAAATATTGGCTCCATATCTGTCCGACTTCTTTATTGAGCCACTGTATACATATGTAAATATGTACATGCCTGTTTACATGCATGCATACATACATATATTGATACATAGTGCACTGTGTAAGTACCAGTATGCCTACTCGGAGTATTTGTTACCTCTGTACGCTGCAAAGTACGAGTTTGAGTGTTTATGACAAACAGCTAACGTAGAGATTAGTAGCTGTATTGCCGGTGCAACTAATTATACACGAATATAAAGTGTGAAAATATGCTGTGAATACATTTGAATGTGTAATTGAGTAATGAAAGCAAAGAAAAAACATATAAAAAACAAGTATTTGACATAAAATACTAATTTAAGCAAACGATGTGACAAAAAATTAATGCACTGGGAATGTGAAAACATGCAGTGAATGCAATTGAATACTCAGTGGAATAATGAGAGCCAAAAAACAACAGACAAAAACTATAGCTACATATGTGATGTGATACTTACTTAAATGACGCATAAAAAAACTAATGATGGGAAAAATTTGTCAGTGTAAATATATTTACAAAAATATATGTATGTATAATATGTACATAAATTTATACAGTGTTAAAAAGCGAACCAGAATAACAACAAAAAATAATAATTTCACTTCGTCTTACTCAAAAATGTGTTCACTCTTCCTTTATCTCTCTCTTCCTTACGCAGAGTTTTAAAAAAATTATTATCCTACGCTTATTAAAAAAAAAAAAAAAACGAAACATAATTATAATAATGGCTACTTCATCCGATCTACTGCATCAGCCTGAATCTAATAACGATGCAGAGGAATCGATTAGCAATTGTGCAAATTCCAACAATCTACTTGCAGCGGAGTCGCATGCCGATGAAGAATCGATACAAGCAAATGTCGCAGATTCCGAAGTAGCAGCAACGTCACCTGGACTCGACGAAAACGAAGACGTTGACTCCAAAACGGATTTTAGTGCAACACCGTGGTATGACCAAAATCGAAAATATACAAAAAAGAAACAAAGAAAAACTTTCATAAAATCGAACACACACACACACACATACGCACACACTCAACGAAATGAAAAAGATGAATTTGTGCTAGCTTGCATAGACTTTGTTGCACAAGGAATTTATTACCCACTCCATTTCGCCCACATTCCGCTCCCATTTCTCCTCATACTGTTACCGTTATCTACTCCCTTGCTCGCTCTCCCTGACACATTTAGCTACCCTCTCATTTTTCGCTTTGCATTTGCTGCTATGTCGCTCATCATTTTCGTAGCGCAAACTAATTGAATTTGTTTCTGATTTAATTAATCAACAGTCACGAAAATACGAAGGAGCAGGAACAGGAACAGGCACAGGAGCAGCAGCAGCAGCTGCTAGAAGAGCAACAGCAATCATCAACTCCACCTTCGCCTTCCGCCGCAACACAGACGCAAGAGGCGCATAGCAATTTTTCACCAGATGAAATACCCGAACCTATTAAGGTGTTAGATGATATAATTTCTGAATTTGAAGATACATCAAAGCCAGCGAACGCAGGTGGTAACGGTGAAAATCAGTCCGAGGATGATGGTTACATGAGTCTCAGTCGAAAGAAGTGAGTGAATGAGTGAAAATGTAGGGAATGATTGAGTTTGACGTAATTATTATTATTTTTAATAGTGCAATTAATCGAAATTAACAAAGTGAAAAGTGCTTATACATAACTAGGACATGAAGTTTGTAAGCCAGAGCTTTTATTATTTATTTCTTTTATTATATCATAGACTTCCGAATAGTTACTACATATGTATCTTTTCAAACTTTTAACGTATTTCCCACATTTGTTGTTGTATAACTCTTCGACCCTTAAAGCACTCGAATTTTAGCTGAATTAGTTGCACACAATTGGCTATAACTCCAAAAAAGCTATTATTGTCGTAACTCATACGACGAGGCGCACTAAGTTATTCATTTTAAAATTCAATTCAACTAACTAATCAGCTGTGATGTAAGCTTAATATCTAGGAGGAAACAAGCAAAGCTTCAGTGGCTCTATACAGTTGCAGAGGGGGAATAGATAAGAGATGAGGCCCTTCTCATAAAGTTATTTCCTGCCTCTTTGTAACCCTAGTTAAGCCCATTATGTTTTATCGCGTCATCACGTGCTGGAGTGAGTACAACGAGCTGTCCTCATTGCAATCAGGGGGCACTTAAGCGGGGAGTGGCTCTTAACGTCAAACTTAATATAGCGCTTGGCGATATTAAATGTAAGGTAGCTGCAGCAAGGGCTGGAGTCAGACTTAGGGGGACTGGATGCCTGACTGACTCGGGATCTGAACAATCTAGTAATCTCGTGAGTTTCCATTTAATCTCTGATAACATGGATCACTGCTTGACTTTCCTGGCACCAGCTAGCTTTTTCACAAAGCACATCCCATCAGCGGTTGGAAAGGAGCAACCGATTGACCTTTACACGGATGAGTCGAAGCTTGACAGAAGCGACGGTGTAGGGTATTTTCAATGGAGCTCTCCAACAAACTTAAATTTAGGCTTCCAGATCACTGTAGTGTTTATCAGGATGTTGTTGTTGCTAATAAGGAAGCAGTCGATTGGCGGTAAGTGAGGTTAACATCTACTCAGACAGCCAGGCGTTAATCCCAGCCCCGGACTCACTTACGGTGAGCTCAAAGCTTGTCGATCGCATCGGAATAATCGGTCCCATTATGGTTGTTGTCGTCGACGTCGTTGTAATTTTTTTGTCAAAAAATAACCTTTATCGGTCCAACTCTGGCTCTGGGTGCGAGGAACACCATTTTTGACAAAAAAATTACAACGATATCGACGGCCACAACCATAATAGAGCCGATTACTTTTAGACTTGTATGGGGTGGCAGACTATAGTGATATCGGAGGAAATTGTGTGGCTGGTGAACTGGCCATGAGTGGCACCCTCGAGCCAATATCACCAAGAAAAGGCAGAGTGGGAGGCCCTCCACTACTTGTGAACTTCTCTTGGAAAGATGATCCGCGGCTGTATTGTCGGGCCATTGTCCTATCGGGGTCCAGGCAAAGAGATTAAATATCAAAACAATATTTCCGCTTAGATTACCCAGTTTTTTTTTCAATTCGGGCTTAGGCAGCGGGATTCGTACTTCTTAACTGGTCTGTAACAGCTCTCCGGGACTAACATCTGCCGCAGCGATTCTAGCTTTAACCTAACAGTCCCTGTTCGTAGTGCTATCACAAAGAACCACCGTTCACGGTCTAAGCAGTCCTTTGACAAAGGGACCAGCTTAACCTAACCGAACCTAACTAATAAAGTCAATATCTCTTAGAAATTGTTCCGTGACAATAAAACGGAACAGCTGCGAGCATCAAATCAAATCAGCCTTTAAACCCTGAACCACTGAACGCTCAGCACTGATATCGCAACATTTCGGGGAAGTTGGAAAAATTCACTATTAATGGAAACCCCATTCCCGATATTAACAAGACTCGATCGCTAAAACAACAGTCCTTTTTCTGAAAAAGACTCGAGCATGTACTTTCTTGGGAATTAGCAAACACCATCCGCTTAACCAGACCGACTATATACAAATATAGCCTTTTATAGACAGGCCACTCATCGAGAACTCCATCATCGGAGACCAACGCCACCTATTGTAGACAGAGAGCTCGAGTTGCTTCATGCGGCTGGCGATACTTTGACGCAATTCCATTGTGGATGTTGTACCAGGTTAAACAGGTCGGTCCAATTTGAATAAGATGCCCCGACGACTGGGCTTTTCCTGAGGATGCCATTAGATTAGACTGCAGACAATATCGACTGCTGAGTGGAAGATCGACATATCTCGGCAGCCAGTTCCAAAACGCCCTATTTCAAAAAAACTTTTCAAGAACGCCCTATTTCAGAATTTTATTGAAAAACACCCTATCTCAGAATTTGGTTGAAGGACGCCCTATCTCGGAATTCGGTTCAAAAATGCCCTATCTCACTTCAAAATATATTGAAAATGTGCTGATATGGGGCGTTTTTGACGGCAGCTGAGATAGAGCATTTTTGAAACGAATTCTGAATTAGGGCGTTATTGACAAGTTTTTTGAGATAGAGCGTTTTCGAACTGGCTGGCGAGATAGGTCGATCTTCCACTCAGCAGTCGATATGTAGTCGATTCACTGACAGAGTTTAGTAAACTGCTAAAACAAAAAACAAAAAACTGAAAGATTTTCGATCGATTTTCCTTTTATTTCTTAAGTAATTTTCTGCAGCGGAAAATTTCCAAATATTCAGATATACAGCGTGGCGACGAATAACTGTTACCCTGTTTTTTTTTAAGGAACAAAAGAGTCCTTATAGATTTTGCGAGAAAAGTATTTTATTGTTAATTTTCCACAGATTTTACTTTAGTTGTATTAGCTGGTTATTAAATTTTAATCACTATTTACATTTGCCAGCAGTTTAAACTTTGAGAGAAAAGTTCATTTGGCACGCAAGTCTTATTTAGGTGTATTTTTTCATAGGCTTTGTATAAAAAAATACAAAAAAGAGAAAAAACTGTATAAGGTTGGTCGAATGAATGGCCGTCCTAGTCACCAGTTCCGAGTCTATTCGATTTTTGAGTATGAGGCCTTATGTTGAACGAAAAGGGGAGTATAAAGGACCCAAAATGGGGAACATTTTTTCTCTCAAAGTTTACACTGCTGGCAAAAGTAAATAAGGATTAAAATTTAAAAACTAATTAATACAGCTAAAGTAAAATCTGTGGAACAATAAAATACTTTTTTCGCAAAATCTATAAAGGACCTTTTTATTTCTCAAAAAAAACTGGATAACAGTTATTCGTCGCCACGCTGTAAATTTAAATTAAAATGAATAAAAATGTTCGGGTTCCATTTTCATTAAAATAAATATTTAGACCTTTTAGATTCTGGTATATAAAAAAGCTAGATGAAACCCCAGCTTATTCGGTTGCGAAAATCCGGTTTACTCGGAATTCGAAAAATCAAGTTTTTGGAACACTTCTCCTCCTAAAAATATTAAAAAAAAATGGTTGAAACTGGTTTTGAAAAACCGAGTCAATCACCCTGCTGCGAATTCTCCAACAATGCGCCAGCTCATTGAGAATACTTAGGGACGTCAGTGGTAAAAATACATCGATGTTTTCCTCGCATCGATGCATCGAAACTTACATCGATATTCGTTGATGCATCGGAGGGCGTACATCGATACGCATAGAGTGTTTCTCCACTATGGAAATAAAGCAAAACCAATACTACGCAATTTCGACTGATATGTTCTGCTTTACCCGAGTCCGGTCGATATGTTGTTGTAATAGCGTATTTTCGTCAAACAGTCTGTTTATTGGAGGTACGCTGAGGTAACGATTTTTATAGAACCTCCCCTGGGATTACTGAACAAAAAAAAAATCTTTGAACCACAGGCAGGCTATGTATTATCCTCTATGAGAAACCGTCTGATATAATACATATGAGCAATCCTTTCTCTCGGTAGAAAGAGAACGCCATAGCATTCTTCTTGAATTTATTTCAATCACTGGAGTTCCAGAAACAAGTACAATAAAAAAATAAATGAAATATTTGAACAATTTTAGTTTTAAAACGTTTATTGCCGCAAAAAAATACCGAAATTACTAATTTTATCATTTTCACTCGAAAATATCATAATTGTTTTTTTTTTAATAACTTTGGGAAGTTTTCTAATAGACTGTTCATATTAGAGGCATAAAATATTGCCTATCTGTGATGTTTCAAGAAGGTGCCCCATAAAAAAAAATGGCGGCATGCAGAACATCTGTAGCAGCTATTTTGTAATTTTTGAAATTTAACGCTTTTGTTATTTTAAAATTTTAAGATACCTTAAAATGTCAACATTAAACAGTGAAAATGTTCTTCTTGTCACAACGAACAAATCTATAGTAATAAAACTAGTGTGCCACCAAATGAAAAAAATACATTGATTATAACAGGGTTGTTGCGAATATTCGCATTCGCAACCGCGGAGCTTCCGCATCAATTTTAACATTCGCATTCGCAAAAATCAATGCGGATCTTTTGCGAATGCGAATATTGAAGGGACCGAAAATTACAGTTATTTTTTACGAGTTAAACTTGGCCAAGTATTTTTTATTCCGAAATAAAAGTACTTCCCGGATAATAAACAAATCGCTTATCCAAATTAAGCAAGTTTGGTATCCAATGAAAGAGGACTTGAATAGCTTTAAAACTGAAATGTCTAAAAGAGGAAAGCAATAAAAAATGTTAACTAATTACCATAGAACAAACATTGGGTCAGTTATGTATTTAGATGAATTTCTTTATTATTAAGTTATAAAAATATATAAATAGAGGTAGTAACCGTCATTCGTTATTTCTGTTTAAAAGCTATTTCAGTCCTCTTTCATATGATATCAAATTTGTTTAGTTTGAATAAGCGGTTTTTTTATTATCCGGATAGGACGTTTATTTCGGAATAAAAAATGTTGGGCCAAATTTAACTCGGGAAAAATAACTGTTATTTTCGGTCCTTGGAATATTGTGCAAGTGCACAGACGTACATGTAACCAGTCACAGAAGAAAGCATTAAAAATGAGTTATAAAAACTAAAATCGAAAAACGCTGATGACGTGACAAATTCCGAAACAACCAAAAGAATGAGAATGAAGAATTCTTTCAAAAAAAAAATAAAACAATTTTTAAACAACGATTGTGCCATGATGCTAGATTATGAAGATGAAAGTCAAGAGGATACATCCGACATTTGCAGCCCCGATGAAATTCTCAAAAAGTAATTATTGCACCGCAATAAAAATAAACAAATATAACTGAAAGTCCTCTCAACTGGTGCGTTGTTAATCGAAAAGAATTTACAATTTCGCCAAGTTTCAAGTTTTTCAAGTTTGTCGCCTCGAGCGTGTTGTTATATAGTGGCACAAGTTTGATTTACGGCCTTTCAAAAAGTTTTTATTAAGTACAATGTACCAATTTTTAAATTCAAGTACTAAAAAAACATTCTGCCTTATCCTGGGTTTCACCCGAAAAAATTTCACCCGAAAATTTTACATCCGCCCATAGTAAATACATGAAAACCAAAAGTGAAAAGTGCACCGGTTGGGGCAAAATGAAACCCATGATAAGCCTGATTCAGTCTTATCATGAGTTTAATTTTCGCCGAACCGGTTCACTTTTCACTTTTGGTTTTCATGTACATATTTAGTATGGGCGGATAAGGCAGACTATTAAAAATTATTAACCTTTCCATTTTTTATTTACCCAAATCACCTAATTTACACACCTAAATTATTTCTTAAAAATACATGACATGCACATTCGCATCCGCATCCGCGGATGTTAGCTTTAAAACATCCGCATCCGCATTCGCATTCGCATCCGCGGATGTCTAAAATTCCACATTCGCAACATCCCTAGATTATAAGATGACGATGATTTGCGAAACAAAAATGCCAATTTAAAAATTTTTATTGGCACACTTGAAATTCATTCTGAAATTGTTATACATAAACGTGAAGAAATTAATATATGTTTTGTATATGTATATTCGTGAATAGTACTGTAGAAAAATATTCAACCAATATTTAATTATTATTAAATAATAGGACGTGCGAATAAACTTGTTAGATGACTGTGTATGGTGCTACGGAGCGTATACGTTACATACACAACTACGGGTATATGGGTAGGAGTGGTTATTTTTATTTTTTTTAGTATATCTTTTTTAAGTTTTCATTTAAATACAATTTCGTTAAGGAATCTTGCTCTTTATGCAAAAATTAAGATATTGCATTGTCTAAGATATGTGTGCCACCACACGTTTTTGTCGAAAAATGTAACAACTCGTGAGATATGGTAACTTTGACTTCTGGAACTCTCAGTATACTGTTTATGGGCTTATTCTGAACCTTTTTATTTATTTATTTATTTTATTTTTTATGCTTTAGATTCAGGGGTGTACGGCGAACTTTTTCGTTTACTTGTAAGGTGGTACAGTCTAATGTACACAAGTTAATTTAGTAAATAACTATGTGAAATGGTTTTTTATTGCTTCTCTTTCCAAGCATGCACAAGCAAGATTTCGAAAATGTCTCACAGAGCAGTATTAGCAGCAATGCGCCACCAACTATCACGCCAACTAAAGAGTTTCACGAATTTAACAATACCACAGATGTTACCTGTCCAAGCTTGGAAACACCTGTCGATCAAAATATTATACAATCTACTTTGGTACGTAAATACGAACATACAAAGTCCGGTGCATAGGTGCAACATTTTTTTTTAAGCAAAAAAAATATGTCTTTAATGCAGCCAAAGGCGCGTCCAGCTTCTGCACTGACGAGCAACAACTATTCTAGTCTTCCATGTTGCGGTGCGCGCTCCACATCATTGGATGGCAAAACGACGCGTGGCGTTAGCTGTAATGGTGAACGCAACAAGTTGGGCATCGATATAAGCGCGGTACATAATGCGGTATTACGTGGCGGATTGGCAAAATTACCAGGTAACAAAGGGACAATTAATTTGTCTTAAATTTTTTTTAAATACCCCACACCTTCCACTCTAGAGCCAATTTTAAATGAGCATCCCGTTACTATATACCCCGGCCGTTATTCACCACCAACCGAGAACAAGCGGAACCCTAATCGTCCAACGCGCATATTATCCTCTGTAGAGAAACACAAAGAAGTTTGCCACATACTTAATCCCTTGTCATCGATTTCCTCGTCATCCTCCTCGTCAAGTTCGAATTGTATGGGCCTGATGGATGGCGGTAAAGTGACGGAAATGCCGCATAATATTATGAAAAAGCCATATATACGTAAGGACAAAGTTACAAATGAATTTAGTTTAGTAAGTGAAGATGAATTCTCGGACGATTCGATTGAGGAGCAATCATTATCGCCAATTACATCACACTCCTCACCGCATAAACAAAGTGGCATTGCGTGGGAGATACATTTTAAGAGCAGTAAAAAGAAGTTGAAAAATTCATCGAAGAAAAAGCCACCACGTAAACATGTAATTTCAAGCAAAAGACCTTCTTCTTAAATGAATAACACTTTCACACACCACTTTTCGATCTCTTCCAGGCCGCCGATTGTATTGTCAAAACGGAAAATGGTGGCTATCCTCTACCCATAGTGACTAGTGACTCTTATTATTCCAAAGATATTGAACGCGCTCATCGGCGAGAACCGATTGTCATAGATGCCTTGGATGGAGCAGATCAATGTTCAGCAGCCTCAGCGGATATTTTAAATCACTGCATGTACCGTCATACAAATATGTTGGGCAAAGGTACATTCATAATACGGCGGACCGCAAAGAAACTACCAACAACAATGGATATATTCCGCAATGAAAGCGCAGAATTAGATAATATGCACGCATGCGATCAAAGTGACTATGAAGAGTTTTCCTCAATGGAAGGTCATGAGAACTGTAAGCCGAGCGACACATTGAGTTCTAGCTCTAGACTTAGTATGGAATTGGTAGCACCACTGGGACCACCATTGCCATCGCCGAGGTAAATAAGTTGCTTATTAACAAAGAACTGATTTATCTTACATTTTGAAAACAATTTTAAATAATTTGTAGAGATCGACTTTCTTTAAATCTTGAACCACAATTACCAAATATTTTTACCAAAGAAATATTGGCTGTGCACAAAGGAGATCGCTCATCTTCCGAAGGTTGACGCAACTTCTGAATTTTAAATGAGTTGGGTTAAATGAAATTTATTTATATTTTACAGAGCTTTTGGCACCTATTAAAAAGACATCGCTTAAAAGAGAAACTAAAAGACGCAGCACCGATTCTATTAATACGAAGTCTTCCAGCTACGAAGAAGCCGACGATAATGAACCTAACGAAAGTGCTATTTTGTTTTCGAACAAAAATAGTTTCGACGCTTGCAATATGTACGCTTATAAAAACGATGCCGCAAGCTGTTTGAAAGGGCAAGAATTTGCAGGTGAGAGAGGAGGAATATTTTAAGCCGGTAAGAGCATTTTAAACAGGGAATGTTGGTAATATTGGGTGTGACATTGGACCTAAGTCCTACTGAGTGGCAGGATACGACCGTTTACCAATAGTAGTAGCGACTGTTTAGAGCAGCCAGTTCGTTATAGAGTTCATCTAGTGATGTGCTCATCAAAAGTAGGTTGTCAACGGGTAGTAGCGGCGGCGGTTATCATCGTATGGCACATATCGTGTGGCATTTTGTGGCATTTTAACCTGATGTCAGGTCTAACACACTGATACAGGCAGCTCCACAGACACCGCGCTGTGTGCCCTGAATACGGAAATACAAAGTTACTTTGAATGTATAGAGGCAGTGCCGTTTGCCCTCTTTGCCATCGAGGAGGCTTTCGACAACACATCTAATGTGGGCGTCGATCGATCGGGCACTCGAGAAACGCTATGTGCAGCCTACCATTCGCAAATGGAATCGGTGACAGCGTAGTACAACTTCAAATAATAAAAGGTTGCCCGTAGGAAGGGTTGTTGTCTCCTCTCCTGGGTAGTCTAGTTGTGAGCGAACTCGAACATATACTCACTGACAATGGCGTCCGCTGTCAAGCGAATGCGGATGATTTTATTGATTATTGCTAGAGGGGTGCTCGCAAGTACTCTCTGCGACATCGCTCAAAGAGGACTTAATTAGCAAAAATTTGTGATGTGGGTCTTAATATTAATCCCTCTAAGATAGCTGTTGTTCCTTTCACCAGAAAAAGAAGGAGGAACTTAGCCTTTGATGGGGTCGCGGTAAATGTGGCACTTATCTGGGACTCCAAATTCCTGTGGAGGACTCATGTTCAATCCTGGTGATGCATCCTAAGGATCTTAAGATGCATAGGTATACCACGATAGTATGACCAATAGCAAACTGTTGAGCAGTGCTTTGGGTATCCAGGACTACTATGGCAACGGTAAGGCAGTCCCTAACAAATATTCAACGTCTGACATGTGTTTGCTTCAGCGGGAGCTATACGCACATGTCCGACGGCACCGCTGGAGGTAATTCTTGAACTCCAGCCATTACATCTTACAAAGACAAGATAGGCTCCTAACTTATATTAGTTCTGTTCCCCAGAAACGATATGCATATATTAGTAGTTTTCTAAAGAAGCTTTAAGGTTGATATATACAGCAGACGACCTGACATACAGATGGCACTAAGGCCCATGGGGCTACTGGAACAGGCGGAGCTTATGGGTCTGTCATTCTTCGAGGTCAAATACTCATTGATTCTGGTGTCTATAGAGAAGCTTAACGCCCTTGCTGAGAACAATGCTAACCAACTGCCGATCAGTTAGCCAAAATGGCTGCTACCTCGACCCCGATAGAACGTTGAGCGCTAAGAAAGGTAAATACCAAACTAAGGGAATTACATTGGCTAATACCTATGGGTCCTCGTCGAGCTAAGAGCTTACTAGCTGGTATATATAAAGACTAATCATAAACCTCTACAATAAGAAGACAGAGGTGCATAGGACACCGAAGACCAAGAGAAGATCACATACACTTTCTTCCCCCGTGATCTATTCTGAAATGGGTAATCTTCAGGGCTACATATATGCAGTGTTTTGATGAGATAAGGGCTGAATCATAGAAATATTGGGAAAATTGAGCAAATGTAGCGCCTGGTCTTATGAAATAACTCGAGCTTTTCGTAACTTTGAGTTTCAAGAGCTGCCTTTTTGATTTTTTCAAAATACAACCCCAAAAAAAAATTTTTACTGAGCGCAGCGCTAACCGAAACCATAAGGTATATCTTAAAGTATCCGACAGTTTAAGAAGGCTGTGATATGGACAACTGCGTTATTCGAGGGCCGAAAATGGTCTCCATTTCATTAACTGACGTCCAATGATCCGAATGGAATTGTTCAGAAATTCCTGACTGTAAAAATTTCAGACCAAACCCACAAACTGATGGACAGAAATTGGATTGGAAGTAGGCAATAGTAGATTCAAATAATGAAGGGATTAAGTTTGTTAATTGCTGATATTACTTGCTTGTGGAGGTCTCCATTTCGAAAAGATCGGCTTATGAATTACTTACCATTCGAATATAATTTGGTCATCTTCAACATTTCGCAGATTTGCGCTCGTCCACAACAACGACTCCACATACCGATCTCGCACCAACACTTGAGGAGGAGGAGGAGCAATATAGTGATTTTAGCTATAGTGGTGCACCTGTTAAGCAACATGAAAAAATCGATAGCGATATAAACGCGCTACTGCGCGGAGATATCGCTGCGGTACGTATCGTTGAAGGCGGTGCGCATCCTAAACGTCCACTCGAATTTCGTCCCGGTGTGCATAAGTCGGAGAGTGCAAAGGAGATGTTATTGTCTCAAAGTGCATTCGGTCCATTGCCGCCATCGCCACCTTCATCCAATCCAGACTTATTTGTGAGTATAATTATTGAGTGTTTTATATTACATAGAACATCCGCCATAATTTGCATTTCCCCCCTTATTACTAGGACTACGATGCTCTACCACTGCCACCATCTCCGAAGGATGCACTTCTAGTTAGCGAGAGTAATCGCAGTCTTGTGAAAAGCTATAAAAAGACGACAGCTGCTGAAATTCATACGCCTTCCTCATTGGGCGATGAACGTCGGAATCGTGACAATATGAACGCTTTGCGTTATCTAAGCAACGATTTGCCGCCACCGCCACCACTACCACCGCCCGCATTTGAGAATATGGCACCGATTGTGCCACCACATCGTGGACATTCGGTGAATACGATGAAATCTTGGTCCATCGATTCACATTATAAGAAGAAATCACCGAAAATGTTAGGTTATGGTAGTGGCATTACAACGCCAACGGGCTCCCAATACGATGGTTCGTACTCAACGAAACGTTACGTTAACTATGGCACCAAACGGAGCCTGAAGCAATCGCCACGCGAAGAATTGCGTTTGCAAACTTCATGCAGTCTGCCGGAGACACCAATTTTTGCACGAGGGTAAGTGAAGGGAACGGAGTAGACGATATTGAACATATACATATGTAAATTTATTTCGTCCTTATCTTAACAGAAGCTGTGACATACCACGCACACCCTTTAGACGGCAACCCGAAAGTAGCATAAGTGGTTCCCGCACAGCACCACGCTCCAGCACATCGCACAGTATTAATATGGGTAATACAATGGGTGGCATTTCGGGTGGTAAGTGTTGGTTATTTAAACATTAGTGAGAGATTTTCTAACTTCAGCCTCCTCCAGGTGGTAACACATTCGGTGCTGGCATGTGCCGCCAACGTTCCATGAATCATGCGCTTGCCTCCAATGAGATGCTGCGCTTGGCCGGTGCACCAGCACGTGGCTGGTATCCAAAACAACGTACTATGCGTCCAGCATCGACTGAGAATATTGATCGCTTGAGTTCATCGCGTGTCTGGGATAGTGCAGCTGGTATGTCTGGTACCGGACACTCAAGGAAACCATTGACGCTGCCACCCAACTTAACGCCATCATTTTTGAATAAGTCACCACGAGAAGCTTTACGACGCGTTACTAGTCTCTTGATAGCGAAAAAGAGTAAGTATACGAGTCATAATTAGAAATCAGGATAATTAGAATGAAGGACTTTTGCAATCAAAGCTTTGCTCCAAAGCCTTAAGAGCTTTCTGGCCTAAATGTATGCTTTAATATTGACACTGAATAGTAGAGTAATAAGTAGAGATTTAAGCATAAGATTTAGATTAAGGGTAGTACAACGATGAAGGTAAAATAAATATGTAGATGAAGCAAAGGATAACGGCAAAAAAATAAAAATAAAGATTTGTAGATTAAATTAGATTCGATTTAGAGGAGGGAGCAGACCACCTAATTACCGCGATCGAAACTATCTATTGTAATAAACCTCTATTCAATTGCATGTATCCTTTGATCCACGTATTGCTAAGAAAGCTCGTGTGGTCCTTTGGGTGAATGCCATTTAGGTCGTGTGCTTCTGGGTACCGTCATCCTACGAAGTGAAGGCTGGTCCTGCTGAGAGCTTCACAGTGACACATATTGCGCTGTTTCCTGTTCTTCTTTGCAAAACCTACACCGGTCAGAGTTAACAATTCCTAAGTTTGACAAGTGTTTCATTACCTTACAGTGGCCAGCAAGAAAGCCTGTAACAATTCTTACTTCATGCCTACTGAGGCAAAGGAGTTCTTCGGTTCTACTTGTTGATATATACGAAATAAAGGACTTGGCCTGTCTATTACCTTCCGTATTTGTCCAGTAATGTTGCGCTTCGCTCTTTATCTAGATATAGTAATTTCGCTCTCCATGGGAGACCATTAGAGGATCCTGGGCCTATGAATCCCTGTGTAGCCCCTTTTCTGGCGAGAATATCTGCCAATGACTCCACTGTGTCCCGGTACCCACATAAATACCTTACTAAATACCCAGCTTTGAGGTGACCTTGTACGCTTAAAGAGCGAGCAGTGCCGTTCTGCTGCCTGAGTGTATGTAAATGTGTTTTTTGGTTACTCCACTTTCTACATACTGCCTCCGACATAACTCAATGGCATGAACCTTGCCTCAAAGACAAAGTTGCCTTACCCTATGCTGGTGAAAAGGAGCCGTCTGGGTTGTATGCCGAAAACTCCTACTTCGACGCCGTGGTCTTGGAGCCGTCAGTAAACCAGATGTGGCTGTCCTTCCGGGGTTTAGGTCGCTCGTTATCCCAGTTGCCCCTATCGGGGAAAACTACCCCGAAAATTTTTGGAAGTTAAATTTCGGAAGGCACAGGTCTACAAAGCTTATGTGCAGCCCGTCTTCTTGTTTTATAACCCTGAGGGTGGAAGGGTGTATACACTTCTTGTCCTCTACATTGTCCCCTGAGATGCTGCAAACAGTAGATCCTTTTTCTTGATTACAATGTATAGGGGAGGCAGGTCAAGAAGTACCTCGACAGCCGCAGTTGGTATTGTTCTCATCGCGCCAGTGATGCCCACGCAGGCCAGTCGTTGTGGACTTCACTTCTGCCATCTTCCACCAAACGGGTGCAGCATAAGTAAGAATGTTTTTGGAGATGGCATCATACATCCACCTGGCCAGCTTAGGTCTGATGCCACAGTCCCCAACCCTAGCCTAATTTTTTTTTATACAATACCTCAAGGTATTTTTTTTTTAATATGAATTTTTGAACTTAAAAAAAATATTGCAAACTCCAAATTCAAATCAAATTCAAAAACGTTCAACGTAACTTATGTATTTAAAAAATTTTTTAGTATTAACTTTTAAACGAGACCAGAACCATTTTTGTAACTATAATAGTTTTTGGGATACTCAAAAAATAAACTTTTAATGTTTACGACATACAAAAATACGACACTTACGACACCGTTGGAATCCCCCATATGGCAATATAATAATAATATACATACATATCGTTGCCTTAATATAGAAAGGCCCTATCTCACATCGTCGCTGAAATGCACAAAGCCGTAACTAACTAAAATCTTTTATTGCATAAAACGATTTGGGGCCACATAATTCGATCAAATGCATCAAATTCAATTAAAACGTAAATTATCGATTTTTAGTTAGTTACGACTTTTTGTAAATCAGCGACGATGTCAGATAGGGCCTTTCTATATTAAGGCAACGATATGTAAGTATGTTAAAGAAATAAACTGTGCTTCAAAAGTTTTAAACCAGAAATTAAGATAGCAGTATTATTGATTGAAAGTTGAAAAATGAAATTATAGTATAACCATTATAATGACTTGATCTTCTATTTTATTAATTTTAGTCTTCATTTTTTAGTAATTCTATAGAAATTTTTTATTTTTTTTTTAATTTCATTTCAGAAAATACTAAAGAGCGCAAGGGCAAGCCATATTCGGATACCACACTTGATGGAAATTTGACTTTCGATCAAGACACTCGTGAGTATTTACTATACTCTAATATGCCGAAATATTTATCTAAATGTGTATATTTATTAAAATAGCACTCCCGCCGCCCAAAGATAGTTCGCGGAATTTCAACAATACGTCACAGAAGCCTCAGAAGAAAAAAGGCCTTTTTAAAAGCTTATGGAAGAAAACAAAACACTTTTCGTTAGATCAATAAGTAACAATAACAGTACACAAATAAACCGTAACAATACAGAATTTTTACACATTTAGCACACAAAATCCTCCTACCCATCCATCCAAAGAGCCACACAATCAACCACATAACTACACAGTCACACGTACATACATACTCACATTCAAACATAACCATATTTATGTAAGAGAGTTGCACATTACCGATTATCATCTACATACATATTTATTATCGTTATATACTCACAGTTAGCATAGGTAAGTTATAGCCGTTGATATGATGCTCATAATTAGGTACTATATACATACATACAGACGGACAGACAGACAGACATGCATACTTTAAAGTTTAAACAGAAAGCATTATTAAATGCTATACCAGGCAAATTTTTACATAACATAAATATACATACACACTTAAATACACGCATACATACAGACATAAGTATTATTGCCGGAATAAAAGCATCAATACATAAAATTATGAGTACATCAAATGAAAATGAAAGTAATTAAAATAATAATATGAACACAGAGTATAGAAATGCACAAAGCCGCAAAACTAAAGACTGAATTTAAAAAAGGAACAAAAATTAATTATTGATAAATCAAATATAAGACACAACTCAGTTCAGCTTCACATAACTAAAACTGAAAACAAACAAAAAAAAAATATTACATATAAAACAATATCTTCTCATTTTTTAAGAGTTAACGAAAATAAAAATAAATACAAAATGTTCAGACTTGCACGAATCTAATAAAAACTAATAAAACTTTCGTCAAACAACTTTGGTACCAGCAACTATGTACGTAGAACTTACAGCCAAAATTTCGAGACTTACTTGTGTAAATTGACTGTAACTAATTAGAATTTAGCCATACATTGAAGAAGAAGAAGAATAAGAAGAACAGGAACAAAAGCCAGCAAACATTAGAGGCAAAACTGCCTAGTCATAAAATGAAGATTTTTTTTTTTTAGAATAATGTACTTATTTTCTACACTCTTCCAACCTACATTGTAGTGACAACAACTACACTAGAAATACATACTTACATACTTACGAACGCGTGTTGGGTTATATTTACTATTTAGTGAACGAATACTTTTAGCATTTGAATGCATGTTTTCGTATAGTCTTTACTTTAGTTTTTTAAGTACATATACGAAAGTATTTTGAGAAAAAAAAAAGAAAGTATATTTTGAAAAAGGTCAATCCTCTTTTAAGCAATATTTGGCTATCTTTCATATTGTATGTACTATGAGACCGATAAAATACAAGTATGTAATATCCTTCATTTATTTAAAGTATACCTATGTATGTATTATTAGACATTTTTATAAAGCAAATAAAGTTAGCAAGAAAACAAAAGCAGTTAGTAGGAAAGCACCAAATTGTAATATCACTCAAATTAACTTATTTTTATGAACGTTAGATGTTCTTCTACAACTTAATACTGAGAAAACTTAGGTCATGTTTACAGCTATCAACGAATGGAAATAAGGAAGATCTGCAATGCCTGCAAGTAGTTTGTCAGGCACTTAAAAGAAATATGTACATATGTACATACATATACTCTAATCATTCAAGCTCATTTGGAGAATGACGAGGATTTTATAAAGTACTTATGATGATTACAGGTAAAGCAAAAAAACTATAAAAATCGTCCACAAATAAAGAAATCGTCATCTGATTGTCCATTTCGCGTACAGATGGGAGCAACTGATTTTAAAAAAATTTTAAGCAGAGTCCAATAATAACTGTTTGATTTGATTTTTGGAGATTGAAAAAGTTGACCATAGATCGAAGAATATTTTTATGTTCTTAATTAAGAGTTATTGGTTGCGTTCGCCACATACAATTTTTTAATAGTTTTCCTAGTCTTTACAGGTTGGCGTTCGATAATGACTAAAAATTATCTATCACTCAAAAATTGAGAGAGCAAACGTTCATTTCGCGCTGGAAAAACTTAAGTCATCTAAAATTATCCAACACGAAAACAGCGGTCGAAAATCCAGCAAAAGTTACTCAAAATATCAGAGAAAGAAAAAATTCCCTCTCAAGTTGAGAAACTTGCAATTTTCTGTACGAATGTAAATTTGCAGGAATTTGCAAGTTGCCTTGCCAGCTGGTGTCCACGGTTGCATTTCAAACATAATCAATTTTTATAAAATTTTTTAAATTCTCTTAGATGTACAAAAAACGGGGGTGATCAGAAATATAGGCCAGCTCTCTTCTAAATTCATCCACTAGTTGAGGTCTAACAGAGGTTTCGGCATAGAAAACGCTTGCATATTTAGTCTGGTTGGCGAAAAAATAACTTTAGGTTATAGTGCTCAACTAAAATCTCTGCGCTAACCGCGCATTCCATCCTTGATCCATCAGTAAAAACATTTAAGCCATGCAAGAACTGGACCTTTTCTAGAGCCCGGTCAATGCGGCTTGGGAATTTCGTGCAGGGCTTGTGGTGAACCCAGGTCTTCGACAGGATGCAGACAGTGGGCATCGCTTTAATTTCAGGCGGTAATTCGTTTAGGCCGGAACTGTGCTCGAACGGTCGTTTCTCCCATAGCCCAAAGGCACGCAGTCTGATGGCGCTGTTAGCAGCTGAGTTTTATATAAAGATATCTATCGGTAATAAATCAAGGACGTTGAAAATATTCTTTCGGCCAGGATACCATTGCACCTGTTACGCCAATGGCTGGTGACCTCTGGATTCTAATTAGCTGTTTAGCTACGTAATCCTTAGTAAGGGCTGGCCACCAAACCAACGCTCCATGAGATAGTAAGGCTTGGACTATAGCTGTGTACATCCAGTGCACAATGGCTGCCAGTTAAGTTTGCGATTCGGAATAATGGTCTTATTATGGCAACTTAACGTAACTTGCGGCTCTCTCTTAAAAATTCTGTTAAATGGGTGTTGCTTATAATTGAACAGCCGAAACTTAACGTAACTTAATGCCACGTCGAAATCTGTTTCATTTTGATTCTCTAAGTTCTACGTTCAGTTAAGTTAAGTTGCCATAATCAGGCTTTAAATCCAAGGTAATTCATTTTTTTTACCAGATCCAGTTCTGTTCCTTGGAACCTTGGCTCAGTAAACTTAGGTAATTGTTTTATTTGGGAAGAGCATCTGGTCAGTTCTTGGTCGGCCACTGTGGAGTAGTGGTAAGCAGTGCGCGCTTTCACTCATCAGCACCTGGGTTCAAGCTCTGGTCAATGCAACATCGCAGAAATATAGAAAAAGGTTTTTTCTTAACAGCGGTCGTCCCTCGGCAGGCAATGGCAAACCTCCGAGTGTATTTCTGCCATGAAAAAGAGCTTCTCATAAAAATACAATCGCCGTTCGGAGTCGGCGTAAAACTGTAGGTCCCTCAGCTTTGTGTGACGTCATCAAGGCGCACGCCACAAGTCGGAGGAGAAGCTCGGCCAAACACTAACATATGTGTAAGCGCCAATATATTATTATTATTATATGGTCAGTTTTCTCAGAATTTACAAGAGAACAATTTAAAGCGCACAAATCTACTGTCTTTAGAGCCCCTCTCGTAATTTCACTTATCATCGAAGGAGACTGACCGTATACCAGCATTGCCACATCGTCAGCGCAAGCCACTGCCTTGATTCTCTGAGTCTAGCTTTACCAATAGTTTGTTCATGTGGTCTTGAAGCCATAATAACCGTGAAGAAATATTTTACAAAAAAAATTTTGTGAAGTAAAATAATCGTTGGTATGAGATTGAATTTAACAAATAATGTTCTGCTAAGTACTAAGTTACGGGGTTTGAAGCTGTACATTTCAGATTTATTTTCTTTGTCATCACCTGAAAATTAATCCACTTCCACTCGTCATTCGGGTTGTTATGGAAATATAACGAATTAACACAATTTACTTTTTATATGGAAGACAACCCTAGCATCTTCGACAAAAGAATCTAAAAGATCAACGGTAATTTTTAGCCATTTGGAACTCTTCTTTATTCTACTAGAGTTTAATGGGCGGCAAAACTGCATACTCAGAATCTTTCTCGAAAGCTCGAAATTTGTACCAAGTTTTTTTTTTTAATATTGCACAAAGCTTGAAACTTGGATTCACACAGGTTTTTTTAAAGAAGTAACTATAGTTTTATAAAAAAATTATCAAAATTAAATAACAAAAATATGTTAAAACTTGTCAAAACGTGGTGCGGCCGTAAGTTGTTCAACCACTGTATATATCTGCACTCTGCATATATGGTTGCACCAATAGTTTCCGGTGCATTCGTTGTATGTTGTTGTTATTGTAGCGGCAACTTAAGCCTGCTTATAATCGGTTAATTCTTCAATCGTTGTCGTCAAGTTCAACTAGGACAGCAAAGGTGCCGGACCAAAGGGAGGGAGTCGTTAGTTGAGTTGGGAATATGAAGAGGTAATTTGTGACGTGAGGAATCTTCCCATGCATTCACTGGTCACCAACAGTGGTCTCTGTGTTGCCAGTGACCACTGGATTATCAATCGGCGCCCACCAGCAATCAACGTGGCTGTGAGCCTACGCGACAATTATGAGATAAACAACTTTCCTCCTCAAGTCGCTTAATAAACCGCGTTTCGGCCATCGCTTGACATGTTTGTCTTACCCTGTCGACAGAATAAACCAAAACCAACTCAACCATACTTCATTCGGACAAGTAAACCGTGTCAGTAGAAAATTCTTTGCCATATTTTCCAAACGATGCATAAATTTTAGCTCTTAAATACTTATTTTCTAATCAAACTATTTTTGCAACGATAAATGACGATTCAAGTCGGCTACCAATATTCCTCAATCTTTTTTTTTTTCTAAATAACTATAAGTTACAAACTTGCTTTCCAAATTAACAAAACTACTTTTAATATTCCACTTCTGAAGCATGTGAGTCGCATCAACTGGATTAAAATCATTGCCAGACCTGGTGAATAAAATTTACTAAGGGGACAATTAAGCTACAATAAATTTAATGGCTCGATTATGGATAGCAACCCAACCTCAGTTGGGCAACGCAACTCGAATTAAAATTTTTATTATGTATAGCAACTATATAGTTAAGTGCAATAAAGTAGAAGATAATAGAATTTCAAGGTGCCAGCAATCAAGACTTGAGTGTAAACAGGCTGCAGAAACAGTTTAAAAAATAAAAAAATTTTCTCAATCGAAATTTCCCCGACAACTCAGTTGCCAGATTTCTGTTGCTAGTTGCCATCCGTAATATCATTTCAGCCAATGGGAACGCAACTGAAGTTCGGTTGCAATTCGTAATCGATCCATAAATCTCCTCTCACAAGATAAGATAATTTTTCCAAATGAGCTTTTTTTCTTTAAACAAAAACTACTAGAACGTGTCCCAAAGCAGTACGATTGCACCCGTATTACATAGCAGTTATAGTAAGCGGAAAAGCTTCAAGGATTTCAAAAAGCACTCCTCAATGTACACAGAGTAAAATTCATCGACACATTAGTATTAGTACACATGTATGTACATAGTAAACACATACAGCAAAGATCATATTGCTATATATATATATAGTACATGCATACGTACATATACGAGTACAATGTCAGTGTCATTGTGCTCAACTTTTTTGGAACACGAAATCCATGGTCCTGTCCTCATTTTCCGTGGCGATAATTGCATCGTCTTAATATAATAATTGAATATTTAATAAGAATAAAGTTTTAATTACTTATACATACTGATTCCGCTCGATTGCATTTTTATTTAATTTTTTTTTTTTTTGTTATTTGTTTACTAATAATCCTAATAATATGTTAATTTAACTTGTGCCAGGTTTGTGAACAAAATATGGCCCAGGGTAAAGGGTAAAAAAAAAAACAGAAATAAGAGTCTCAAGTGTTCACAACGGTCCGGTCAAACAAGATACATACGTCACTACAGCACGAGTACATCTTCAATACATAAATATTATGACAAAAAATAAATTGCATTTAAAATTTTGTATATAAACAATAATTTAATATTCGGCATACAAACTTTTGGAGCAGCAATTTCAAATTTCGGTTAGCCGTGTTAATGGTGATGTTGTTGCCTACCATAACACGATAGCTGCGTCATAATTAATTATAAACAGCGCCAAGAATTTCAAAAGTTATGCTACATAACTGTATTCATCCCCAGAATTAGGAGTTCGCTCAATGTATTGTTTATCAATTAACGATTCGATGCATTTTTTTATCATTGAAATACTCGGTGTAAAGCTTACTTTCGACTGCGATAAAATCTGTAAGAGAAATGGGTTTATTATTCATTGCAACAGAGTATTGAGAAAGTCAAGAGTAACCTCCCCCCTAAAACTATTTTTATCTTTTGAACTGAAATGCAGTATTATAATCAAATAAGTATCTCTGATGAGCAATCGAATTTTAAATCAGTGCCATTTTTAAAGCAGTGCCTTGTAAACATTCAGATTATTTTTAGCTTTGCAATCAGTCCGAAAATTTTGTAAGTGATTTAATCATGGGGTGGCAATAATAAATACAAACAAACTTTTCAGTCTACTCACCTCTTGTATGAGTGCATTGTGCTTCAAAACTTTGCGAGATTTCATAATACGCACGATTGCTGCTTGCAGATATAGTTTCCTGTCCTCGTCCACCGCACTGATTGTATGTTCAATCTGCTAAAATATTACAAAAATATTTAGTAGTATTTATATAAATAAAACTTCTTTTTGATGCATCTCTTACTTCTTGTGGCGTTTCCTTTTGCATAGCAGATGTTATTTTGAATTTTGTTCGCTTATTCGAGTAATCGAAATTCAATTCGATTTTTGTATTGCCTTCTAAAACTTCTGAACTAGCATTAAGCAATTTCGATTCCAGCAGGGATTGTAAATGCTTCTGAAACGTTTCACCATTCAGTTGTAGCGTGGTTTGTATATCCTTGCAAGTAAGCGAATCACATGATTCGAATAACAATAGCATGGCCATTTGGTAGGTTTGCATGGTTACGATGTAAGTTTTCTTCAGATAGCCAAGTTTCAGTTCGCCATGGCACATATGATGTAGCCAC